ATGGAAATAATTCATTCAATTCACTGAATTGACACATTCATTCATCTGTGAAGAGGAATGAGAAGATAGCTGAAAGGTATTTGAGTTAGAGGCTAAGTTGTTGTTTTTAGATGGAAGAACCTTGAGTTATGCTAAATATGAATTCTCTATGCTAAATGCTAATAGAAATCTGTGAGAGGAAGCAGTTGAAGATAACAGAGAAAAGGTAAGAGACAATGAAGACAAAGAATGTGGTAAAGTAGGTACTACATCAAAAACTCAAGTAGTAAGTTAATACTGTGCCAAAACCTCAGAATTCCCTAGTTCTGGGACCTTCCCAGTATGAAAGACTATCACTAAAACAGTTCAAGTTCCAGAATCAATTCCTTTTATTCCTAACACCGAGTTCAGCTAATTCTTGATAAGAGGTACAGATTGATTGCATCTAAATAGAAATGTCCTGAGTAGATTTTTTTTTCCTTTATTGATTTTAGAGAGAAAGGAAGGGAGAGGGAGACATAAAAACATTGATGAGGAAGAACACTGATTGGCTGTCTCCTACATGCCCCCCCACCACCACACACACACACTGGGGATTGGGCCCACAACCTGGGCATGTGCCCTGACCAGGAATCAAACCAGCGACCTCATGGGTTGACCCTCAGCTACTGAGGCACACTGGTCAGGCCTGAGTGAATTTTTTAAATCATAAGAAATAACTTGTCTATACTCCAGAAGACCGGTGGCTATAGGACTTAGAGAAGAGTTCATGATAAAAGAGAGACAGTGTAGTAAAAAGATGAAAATAAGATATTCTTTTGGTCAGGCACTCATACACTGTGCAAATGTTGTTTTTCTCCCTCACTGGTACTGTGCAAATGTGTTATTTAAACATTATTCTCATTTATTACAACCACCTTGTTGGCATTTCCATTTTACAAAAGAGGGAACAAGCTCAAGTCAACTAACCTGCCCAGGATTACACAGCTGGTAAATTATAAAGGTGAAATTAGGCCTAGGTCTCAATGAGTTCAAACCCATAATAAGTATTTCTTACCTTGTTAGGCAGTTCAATTTTCTTTCTATAAAATATGATTGTGTATATAATATCTTAACAAAAGAAATCAAAACATCAACCTATCCTAATCCTTTTGCTTCCTTCTTTTTATTTTAGGCAAATTTATATTTATTGTTGAAAATATTACAGATGTTCCCTTTTTTTCGCCATTGACACCTTCCTTCCCACTCCCACCCCCCTCCTGCCTTCCCCAGCCTAGTGTCCTTGTGGATTAGTTGTGCATATATGCATATAAGTTCTTTGGTTTATCTCTTCCGTCTCCTCCCACCCCCATCTCTCTGAGTTTTATCAGTCTGTTCCCTGCTTCCATGATTCTTGATCTCTTTTGGTTGATAGTCTATTTTGCTTATTATTACCACAAATAAGTGAGATCATGTACTTGTGGTACTAGTCTTTCTCTGATTGGCTTATTTTGCTTAGCATTAATACTCTCCAGGTCCCACCATGTCATTTCAAAGGGTAAGAGATCTTTCTTTCTTATAGCTGCATAGTATTCCATTGTGTAAATGTACCACAGCTTTTTTATCCACTCATCTATTGATGGGCACTTGGGCTGTTTCTAGATCTTAGCTATTGTAAATAGCACTGCTATGAACATAGGGGTGCATGTATTCTTTCTGATAAGTATTTTATTTTATTTTAAATTTTTCTTTATTGATTTGCGAGAGAGAGGAAGGGAGAGGGAGAGAGAGATACAAACATCAATTGGCTGCCTCCTGCATGCCCTCCACTGGGGATCGGGCCCACAACCTGGGCATGTGCCCTGACCGGAAATTGAACCAGCGACTTCTTGGTGCATGGGTCAATGCTCAACCACTGAGCCACATTTGCTGGGTGAGTGTTCTATTTTTTAAAATATGTTTTTAGCCCAGCTGGTGTGGCTAAGTGGATTGAGTGTTGTCCCATGGACTGAGAGAACTGGGTTCAATTCCTGGTCAGGGCACATGTCCAGGTTGCAGGCTTGATCTCCAGTAGGGGGCATGCAGGAGGTAGCCAATCCATATTTCTCTCACGTCGATATTTCTATCTCTTTCTAAAAAAAAAATCAGTTAAGAAAAACACACGTGTTAAATATGTTTTTATTGATTTTCTTAGAGAGAGAGAGGAAAGGGAGGGGGAGAGAGAGAAACACCCTTGGCTGCCTCCTACACACCTCCTACTGGGGACTGAGCCTGAAACCCAGGAATGTGCCCTACTCAGGAATAGAACAGATGACCTCTTGGTGCATGGGAAGACGCTCAACTGAACCACAGGAACCAGGGCTTGCTGCTGCTGCTGCTGCTGCTGCTGCTTCTTTTTTTTTTTTTTTTGGCACATGCCCCTAGCAGGAACTGAACCCAGGACTCTCTGGTCCAAAGGCCAATGCTACAACTGCTGAGCCAAACTGGCCAGGGCTTGCTTTTTTCTTTTTAGCAAAACATCTTTAGATAATATACCCATGTCAGAAAACAAAGCAGGGGGTAGAAAAGTATGTTAAACATTTCCAGTGTTTGATCTGTTCAATTGAATAAATGCTGTTTGATCTTTTAACACGATTATTTTTTAATATTAATTTTTTTTATTTATTTATTTATTTTTTTATCCTCACCCGAGGACATTTTTCCATTTTTTACTCAGATAGAGCAGGAAGGAGAGAGAGAAACATCGATGTGAAAGGGACACATCGAGTGGCCGCCACCCACACGACCCAACCAGGGCCGGGGACAAACTGCAGCCAAGGTACGTGCCCTTAGCGGGAACCGAACCCGGGTCTCTGTGGACCGCAGGCTGATGCTCTAACCGCTGAGCCAAACCGGCCAGGGCTTTTAATATTAATTTAGAAGAGATAGTGCAATGCTTTATAAATAGTTCTGTTCAGCCCTGGCCAGTTTGGCTTAGCAGTTGAGCGTCGGCCTGCACACCTGAGAGTCCTGGGTTCGATTCCCACTAGGGGCATGTACCACAAAAAAAAGAAACTAACAGAATATAGTTCTGTTCAGATTGTATTCATAGTGAACGGAGCTGAATCATGCATTCAAAACACTGATTAAATAATGCTATGTGTAAGTCACTGTGGAAGGTGCTTTCAAGACAACAAAAAATGGCCCTGGCCGGTTTGGCTCAGCGGTTAGAGCGTGGGCCTGTGGACCACAGAGTACTAGGTTCGGCTTATGCTAACGGCACCTACTTTGGTTGCGGTTTGTCCCCGGTCCCGGTTGGGGTCATGTGGGTGGCAACCAGTTGATGCATCTCTCTCATGTCGATGTTTCTCTCTCTCTCCCCCCCCCCCTCTCCCTCCTGCTCTATCTGAAGATAAATGCAAAAAAATGTCCTCGGGTGAGGATAAAAAAAAAAAGACAACAAAAAATAAATGACACATGATCCTCACTCTTTTTTATTTATTTATTTATTTGTTCTGGTACGTGCCCCTAGCGGGAACAGAACCCAGGTCTCTCTGGACCACAGGCCAATGCTCTAACTGCTGAGCCAAACTGGCCAGGGCTGATCCTCACTTTTAAGGACCTTAAAGTCTAGGGAGGGAAAAAGAGGTTATAAGATATGTCTACAGTTATATAATACCAGAAGAAACTGACATATACCACAAATAGCACTGATAAAGAACTGTTGATAGCCCTGGCCGGTTTGGCTCAGTGGTTAGAGCGTCCACCTGCGGTCCGGAGAGACCCGGGTTTGGTTCCCACTAAGGGCATGTACCTCAGTTGCAGTTTGTCCCCGGCCCTTGTTGGTCGTGCGGGTGGCAGCCACTCGATGTGTCCCTTTCACATCGATGTTTCCCTCTCTCTCTCTTCCTCCCACTCTGTCTGTACAAAAAATGGAAAAATGTCCTCGAATGAGAAAAAAAAAAAAAAAGAACTGTTGATAGTTCACAGAAAGAATAATTTTTTATTTGAGAAGTTTAGGATGTAAGAAGCAAGGGGGCCATATAGGAGACTAGTTTAATAGTTCAACCAAAAGATTTATCAGTGCTTGAACTAGGACAGAGGCAGTGATGACTGAGGGGAGAAGGGGGTTACAGCCATTGCAGAAATTGCTGACTGATCAGATGAGGAGAGAGGAATGCAGAATGAAGCCCCAAATTTATAACTTGGTTGGTCAAGTGCACTGTGGAGCCCTTCACCCTGATAGAGAATTCAGGAGGAAGAGCCATTTGACATGAAGATTAGAAGGCAGAAGGAGAGCGAAGTCAGTGCATTCCTTCTCCCTCTCTCTGGTTTTCCTCCCTGAGGCCTGTAGTTGAGTGGTGGCCATGTTCTTATACCTAAGGGTCACCTCTGTCTGGCCTAGGGAGGTAATACAGGGGTTGGGAAAACAGGTTTCCAGTTGTGAGTATGCAAAACAGTTTATTTCTGTATTATTATTTATTAATTCTTATATTATTTATTATTATCCACCTACTTTTTGCCCATCCCATAATGACACCACACTGTTGTTAGCCCATCCTGTTGACCTTAATTCAGGCCATGTCTTTTTTTTTTTTTATCCTCACCTGAGGACATTTTTTCTTTTTCTTTTTTTGTTCAGATAGAGTGGGAAGGAGAGAAAGGAAGAGAGAGAGAGAAACACCGATACGAAAGGGACACATCGAGTGGCCGCCACCCGCATGACCAACCAGGGCCGGGGACAAACCACAACAGAGGTACATGCCCTTAGCGGGAACTGAACCTGGGTCTTTCTGGACCACAGGCCGACACTCTAACCGCTGAGCCAAACCAGCCAGGGCCAGGCCATGTCTTTTTATATCTCTTCATTAACTCTCCTATTTGAGTGTGCCATCTGTTTCCTACCAGGATATGAACACATGATATTTATATATTTTTTCAAAAGTTTATATGTGTAATTATATGTTTGTATATGTATAAAAAATATCTGGAAAGATGCACAATAAACTATTAGTAATAGACACCACCTGGAGTGGGCATGGGAGAAGTGAGGAGCAAAGGGGAAAAAAAGAAGGCTTTTATTTTGTCTGTAACATTTGACTTTCTTAACAATAGGCTTGTATTACTTTAAAATAAAAATGCTAATAAAGAGTTTTAGAAGTAAATCCAGAACATCAATCAGTCTAGTGTACGAAGTTCAATAAATTCACTGAGAGTAAAGAAACCTCCCTAAGAAACACTTGGCCAATAAAATTAGAGAAAACCCCTAAACTTTAAATAAAATTTAATGATAAATACATATCGACAGAAATAATTAAATTCTTGTATGAAGGCAGCATCAAAGGAATCTCCTTTTTCATGGCTCCCAGCCCTTCCCTCCGGGCTGATGGGGCAACTTGAGACCCACTAGGCCAGCTGACTCCTCCACTGAGCGCTCACCCTTGCCATGAAATTCCTGATGAAGGGCCACGTGTTCACGGACGCTGCGGAGGAGGCAGAGATAGGTGGCAGCTTGGAAATGAAGCTCATGTTGGGCTCTGCACAGCTTCTCACTGGTCACCTAGAGAAGTAGCAAAGTAACAATAGCTCAGCTAAAGGCCACAGGGTAAGATTTAATAAACATTCTCTAGAATGTTTCTAGTAGGAAAATTGCATAGAGGAAACAGAAACATATATTTGTGTATACTTAATACATATATAGAGGAACTCTGTAATTGTTGACGATTAGGAAAGCTGACCTCCAGTTAACTGGAGTTTTTACACCTGGCAGCTTAGTTGGTTAGAGCATCACCCCAATATGCCAAGATTTCGGGTTTGATCCCCGGGCAGGGCACATATAAGAAACAGCCAATGAATACATAAATAAGTGGATATTTCTCTCTAAAATCAATAAATACAAATTTTTAAAAGGTGGAAAAAAAAGTTTTACAAAGTTTCACTGGGGTGTTTCACTGAGTGACCACACATTTTAATACTGGAAGAAAGTCATCTGGTTTCAACTCTCATTTTACAAACGAGGAAACTAAAGCCTAGAGAGGCTGGGTGGTTGGCTAATGGCAGAAGTGGGGAGCCATAATCAGATCACTGATCATTAAGGTCACCTCAGAAATATAATGTTGAACTTTCTCCTTCAAACAAATGAAGGGCTGCTTCGTATGACTGTGGACTTTGGTTAATATGTCATATGCCTTTCATTTCAATGAAAATTTAAAACTTGTCTGTAAAATAATAGCTTTGTCCTCAATAGTAATAGTAAATGTTTTCCATATAAAATATGCATATATTCATATTACTTATACTCACTCTTACGATTTACTTATCCATCTGAAAAATCTGCATTCTGATAACCTTAATAAGCTGGAAACTTTATAGCCATTCTGAAGTCCTCGGTAACTCTAAACCATTTTTTCTTCATCATAATTAATTTCCAGATGAAGGAAGTTAGTTCACTGTTCTTCACTTGATTAGGTTTGTGTTCTGAGGTTGTGAGAAAGGAGCAGGAAGGTTGAGATAGAGATGTGTACACAGCCTCAAGGGACTTAAGGAGCCCTGTCGTGTGGGTTAATTCTGGCACCACTGTCTATAGAATCCCCTTTTTTTGACCTTTTTTTATTTAAATATCTAGGGTTGGAATCTGAAAACTAGAGTGTGGTTCAAGATCTGCAAATCACATATGTGAAAATGCCACTCATTCATAAGCTGCTCAAAAATATGACTCATTTGCTTTAGTCAACTTATTTTTTTAATTTTAGAGAGGGAGAAAGGGAGAGAAACATTGATGTGAGAGAGAAACATCAATTGGTTCATCCCGTACACACCCCAACATGGGATTGAACCTGCCACCTAGGTATGTGTCCTGACTGGGAATCAAACCCTCGACCTTCCAGTGCACTGGCCGATGCTCCAACCAACTAAGCCACACCAGCCAGGGAAATCAATTTAATTTTTTATAATTAAAAATTTATGAGATCAATACCAATGTCAAACATCAGTAAAAGGTAATATCCACTTGTATAAACCTAACTTGATAGGATTTGAAACAGAAATTCTATGTTAGCATAGGGAACAAGAGAAGACTGACTTGATTTAACTAGATCTAAACCATGAGGAGTCTGGAGAGAAGGATCAATCAAGAATATATTGCCCGGCCGGTGTGGCTCAGTGGTTGAGTATTGACCTATGCATCAAGAAGAGGTCACTGGTTCGATTCCCGGTCAGGGCACATGCCCAGGTTGTGGGCCAAACCCCCAGTGAGGGGCATACAGGAGGCGGCCAACTGATGTTCTCTCTCATCAATGTTTCTATCTCTCTCTCCCTCTCCCTTCCTCTCTAAAAATCAATAAAGAAAAAAAAAATTTTTTTTAAAGAATATAATATAGTAGCCCCGGCCAGTTTGGCTTAGCAGTTAGTGCATCAGCCCTTTGACCAAAGGGTCTCAGTTTGATTCCCAGCCAAAGGCACATACCTGGGGCTACAGGTTTGATCCCCAGCTCTGGTAGGCGACCAATCAATGTGTCTCTATCACATCGATGTTCCTCTCTCTACCCCTCCCTTCCTTCCATGCTATCTAAAAATCAATGGAAAAATATCCTCGGGTGAGGACTAACAACAACAAAAATAATATAACATAGTAAATGAATCACAAGAGACCAAAAGAGATAAAATAAAATAGAATACTGTACTTTCCCGAAGGAGAAAGAGGTTCCTCCTTAATTGAACCCCTTCAGCCTAGGAAAAGGATAGAGAAATGGGCAGAGATGATTACTGAATTAGCTCTGAGCCAGCAAGAAATAGAAACCATTCCCCATATCCTTATGTGCACTCCACAGAGTGCTGTTTCTGGAATCTATAGCATGAATTTCTGACTTACTGCTGAGGAATTTTATAGCCATTACCAAGCCTCTCTTAAGGACAATAATATTGCTTCCAAAAGGAATAATTATAAACATGTCACCTTCTTAAAAATCTTAGAATGACCTCCCAAAAATTTACAATAACCATTAAATTCCTATCTACTACCCCGAAGGTGTGGCTCAGTGGTTGAGCATGGACCTATACACCAGGTCAGCAGTGTGGGGCATGCAGGAGGCAGTCTATTGATGACTGATGTTGATATTTCTCTCTCATCAATGTTTCTCCCTCTCCCTCCCTCTCTCTATAAAATCAATACAAACATATATATTTTTATTTTTTTGCATTTATCTACAGATAGAGTGGGAGGGAGGGAGGGAGGAAGAGAGAGAAACATTGATGCGAGAGACTCACATCGACTGGTTGCCACCCACACGACCCCAACCAGGGCCCAGGACAAACTGCAACCCTAGTGGGTCTCTCTGGTCCGCGGGCCAACGCACTAACCTCTGAGCCAAACTGGCCAGGGCCAAACATATATTTTTTTAAATTATCTTTAAAAAAAAAATTCCTATCTACCATCTACCGCATCTTCCACTTCATTCCCCACATGCTAGGTTTGAACCATTGTCAGCTGCCAGTTCTCACCTCTGGGCTTTTGGTTGTGCAGCTTCTTTACTTGGACATCATCTGCCCCAGACCCCATTGTTTGCTAACAACAAATTATCCCAAGTCCCTGCTTAATGAATTTCCTCCTGAAAGCCTACCCCTTCTTTATATTAGGAATCCCTGTTGTCTACTCCACAGCACTTATTTATTCTAAGTGCTTGGTCACATGTATGACCCTCAGGCAGACTGTAAACTTCTTATAAGACAGGACCCATCTGCATCTCATTTGTTGTTTCTAGCCAAGTACCTAGATGTCCCTAATATTGTGGCCATTTACTATTTTTTGTTGTTGTTGTTGTTTTTTCTTTTCTTTATTGATTTTAGAGAGAGAGAGGAAGGGACAGGGAGAGACAGTAACATCGATGAGAGAGAACATTGATTGGCTGCCTCCTGCATGCCCCTCACTGGGGATTTAGCTCACAACCAGGGCATGTGCCCTGACCAGAAATTGAACTGGCGACCTCTTGGTGCATGGGTCCACACTCAGCCACTGAGCCACACTCTGTACCGCAGGCCGACACTCTAACCGCTGAGCCAAACTGGCCAGGGCTGAGCCACACTCACTGGGCCTAATATTGTGGCCTTTTAACAACTAGCTAAATTTTAGTTCCAACATTTTACAGTCTAACTTGCACGGCTCAGAAATTCAACATTTAGGTTAATGGTCTCCCTTTCCCCACATTGTTCAAAGGATGATGGTAAGTTTCCTTCTGTAGAGCCCAAGCTGACTCCAATTTATTACTTCTGAGATAGGCTGCAACCTCGCTCCCAGCTAGACCCATACCTTCAAAGGCGGTAATTAATGGAAGGCTCTTACTTGGGAACTAGGTAACCAAGATTTTAGTTATTCTTATACATGGGGTTGAAAGGGTCACTATCCCTGAGTCTCAGCTGCCTCCTTTGAAAAATGAAACGATCTTCCATTGCTCTTGCCTGAAGGGGACATGGAGTGTGGCTTTCACAAAGGAATTTCTCAAGTATGTGTTCCCAAGGGTTCATAATGATCAGCTACAGAAGAAAAAATGTACCTGGTCATGTATCGCGTTAGTGTCCTAACCGAGCACAAGCTCTTCACAAGTTTCCAGCTCCGCTCTACACGGCATCATTTGTCTAAGTGGTGTGGGGGATACGGCGTAAGGGAAACAGTCCTGCCCTTCAGGACGCTCCGTGTTCCACACTCGTTTCCCTCTGTGCCTCAGGAGCTGCTTCTGAGGACAGCTTTACCAGGGAGCGGGAGGGCAGCGGCCGGACGCTGTGGCCAGTGACCCTACATCTGCACCGCTACACCCTCTGTCCCCTGCATTTCCTCCTGCCGCCTCCCTCGGCCTTGCTCCTCCGTTCAGGCACAAGGCAGCCAATGAGATCCTCGGGCCGGCTCCACCCCGGGCGACTCGGCCCTCGCGCGGTCCCGGGTCCGTGGGCTTAGGACACTGACCAGAGCCTAGGGAGGGCCTGGGGTGTTTTGGCCGGAACCCGGCCTGGGTGGGAGGGTCGAGCTCAGCAGCGCAGACGCTCGGGCCCGGTGCTCCCCCCGCCCGCCTAGACCCTCTCCCTCCCACCCCGGGAAGGGACGCGGAGCACGCGGACACGGGCTTCCGTACCCGATGTGCCCGGAAAGCTTTCACGAGGTACCGATAGGCCGCGGTGTCGCGATAGGAGCGGCCAGTGCCCGCGTTCATGTAGCGCAACTCCCGGAGAAGACCTCGGAAGGTGCGCGCCGGGGACCCGAGGGCGGCCATTTTCCCGTCCTCCGAGCCCGGTGCCCCGCGGCGCCCTGCGCCCCGCTCACCGCCGCACCCCCAGCCCGCCGCTGGATGGTACGGTCCGCCCACACTGCCGGCTCCCCTCCTCCACGGCCGAGCAGTGGGCTGTCTCGCTTCCCTGCCCTGCGGAGCCTTACTAATCGAACGTCGAGCGGCGCCCTCGGGAGCTAAGGGTCAAGCAAAGAAGGCCGAGTAACCGACGAGCTAGGAGAAAAGCCGGGCGAGGGAAGAGCCCTTCCCTGACTGCGGCTTTGGAGATGCAGTCGCTAACCGACCTCCTGAGCCTCGAGAAAATGGAAGCCTGGCGGGAACGAGTGCCGATTGAAACAGAACACGCTGAGAAGATACTATTTGTAGAGGGGATGACAAAAGTCAGTGTATTGACTTTCCAAAATCAGAGGAAGAAAATGGGAGTATGCTGATTCTCGAAGGCAATAACCTAACACCTACGAAAACTACAATACGTTTCTCATTTTTTAAAAGTAAAATTTGCAAGCTTCGGTTAAGGGCCAAAAAGAGCCTCGTCACCCCAGATGGGACTCGAACCCACAATCCCTGGCTTAGGAGGCCAATGCCTTATCCATTAGGCCACTGGGGCTCCTGTGAGTGACGCCCTGAAAAAACGTATTCAATGTTTTTTTTTCTTCGGTACGTCATTATCACTTAGGTTTCTTTTTAACCTATCCTGGGAGACCACACCTAGTACCAATATGAAGGGCGAGGCATGCCGGGAGTTGTAGTTAAGAGAATAAATGGCCGCGTTACGGCTCCAAGAGTTTTACCCCCGAAACAGCACCGTTGCGCCCAACGGAAGACGGGCACGCGCACGGTTTTTGCCTACGCGTTTCCTGCGTAATAGTCCCCGCGCCTGCGCAGAAGCCGGCTTGCGACGTCGCGCAGCCGAGCACGCTGAGCACACTGGCCGAATCTCGGAGAATCCCCCTTTTAGCCCAGGCTCCGCGGGGCTTTTACCGGAAACAACTGGCCCCTTCCGGTGTGGGCGGCTTTCCCGACTTACTTTGCCGCGAGCCCACCGTTAGGGGGCGTTCGAAGCGGTCATTTTGTGTTTCCGGTTGAAGGGCTGAGGCCATTTCCGTGCGGGGTTAGACATGTGTACCTTTTCTTCTGAATTGGCTGCTCAGTGATAAATATGGGACAGCGGAAAATTAGTTCTTAATGCATTCGGAATCAGTTAGTTAGAGATAATTAGGAGCTAGTTCATTTTCTGGTTCTGTCCCTAATTGTATAACTTGGACGAGTCACTTCTCTGAGTCTTGGTGACCTTAACCCTTGATTACAGTCTTGCAGGCTTCCTAAGGCCATTAAATAAAGTTTAGACTACTGGACCCTGCCTAAATTGACACTTATTTCAACCTTAATATCTGTTATGTTTCCTCTTACCCTCTGAGCCAGGTATCTGAACTTCTCATTGTCTGCCTCTCCACCCATCATTCTTTCTGCCTGAAACTTGACAGTTTGTATTAATATTCCTATTTATCGGTATTTTGGGCTTCAAGTTTCTTTGGGAAGTCTTCGTCAGACCCTTCTCTAGGCCCTTGTAGTCAATATGGCAAGCTTAAAATTATTCACTTCACCTCTGGGCTCCTAGATTACCTATGTAATTTATTTTATTATTTTATTTTATATTTTATTTTATTTTATTTTATTTTACAATTAGGTTACCTATGTCTCAGCTCCATCACCTTCCACATGAGCCAAGATGCAATTCCTCAGACTCAGGGATTCCCACTCTAACAGGTCTCTCCTAGGTCCCTGTTCACCGCTCCAGCTGTGGCTGTTATGTAACCTTTCATATTTTGGCTGGAATTCGGACACTTCCAGAATCAACAGATGAAACTGGTATGACTTAATATGAATGAATGAATCTCTCCCTGTTGCACTAATAAAGCTTTCATTTTGTCAACTTGTAATTCACAAGTATCTGATTTTTAAAGGCAAATATGCATGCAGGAGGGGTTAGGGAGAATGCAATCATGTATTATTCTCCTAATACAAATTTGTTAGAAATGGATTTGATGAATTGAAGCTAGCTCTGAGTGTGAGAATTTATAGGAAGTAGGTCTTCAAAAACTGTTGATCTGTTGTAGTAAGAGGCAATTAGAACTAATTTTGAATTCCTTTTTACTGAGCTGCCAAAAGACTTTTCTTCCACCCTAAGACATTCTTACACTAAGGTAAATACTCTTAAAATGTTAACTCTAAAAATAAAAAGTTAGCTCTGTGTAGCCAATACTCTCCATAGATGCCTCCCCCCTCCCCCACATTCTCCTCTGTGAGTGTGTGTATTGTTCCTTTTATCAAGGGTAGACACTTATTTCGCATCCCACCCTTCCCCCCTTCTTTTGAGTCTCAGGCCAGGCTTGTGACTAGCTTTGACCAGCAGAATGTAGCAAAAGTGACATTCTGAAACTTCTCTGGAATGCCAGGCCTTAAAACTGGCAACTGCACTTCCTGCTTCTTATCTAGTTACCATGCTGTGAAAGAAGCCTCAAGGCACAGTGGAGTACTGAGACAGGCCCAGCTGAACCCTCGGCTGACAGCACCAGCTACCCTCCTCCATGTGAGTGAGCCATCTTAAACGTCCCAGTCCACGGGCACCTCCAGATGACCACAGTCTCAGTCAACATTATATGGAGCAGAGAACTGCCCAGCTAAACCTAGTCAATTAAAATAAAAAAAAATTTTTTTAAAGATAATAAAATGGGCCCTGGCCAGTTTGGCTCAGCAGTCGGAGTGTCGGCCTGCAGACCAGAGAGTCCCGGGGTCAGTTCCTGCTAAGGGCATGTACCCCAGTTGCAGTTTGTCCCCGGCCCTGGTTGGGGTCGTGTGGGTGGCAACCACTCCATGTGTCTCTCTCACGTGGATGTTTCTCTCTCTCTCCCCCTCCCTCTCCTGCTCCCCCTCTATCTGAAGATAAATGAAAAAAAAAAAAAAAAAGTCCTTGGGTGAGGATTAAAATAAATAAATAAAATAAAGATAATAAAATGGTCCGGCCAGTGTGGCTCAGTGGTTGAGCGTCTACCAGTGCACCAAGAGGTCCCCAGTAAGATTCCGGGTCAGAGCACATGCCCAGGTGGTGGGCCTGATCCCCAGTGGAGGGCATGCAGGAGGTGACCAATCAATGTTCTCTCTCATCAATGTTTCTATCTCTCCCTCTCACTTCCTATCAATCAATAAAAAATAAATAAAGATAATAAAATGGCTGTTGTTTAGGAATAATCCCACCATGTTTTGGAATTACTGTGCAGCAATCGAAAAACAAATCAGTCTGAAAAGTTCTTAAGAGACAATTTAGCCAAACTTTTAAATTTTGAAGCTTTAGAAAATCTTTAAATTCCTAGTACAGGGCTACAAACTCAAACCCTACAGCAGGGACCAGGCAGGTAACAGTGAATCTGGCAGACCAAATGGGTTCCTACCTCCTCCACAGGAGTAGACAGCTTCATGGCAATCTCATTGTGTTGCAAAGTAGGAGTGTGTTCTCAGTGTTGCCAGAGCTTCTGTTTTTTTCAAGAGAAATCGTAAATCCAGAATTTTTATGAAATGCTATAACTTTTCAATGTTAGCAGCGTTAAAAACAACAGTTTGTCAAAACACTTCTGTAGGCCGTAAATAACCTAGGGGGGCTGCAAGTGTGGGAACTGTTTGTCCCAGAACTTTTTACAGGTAATGTCTCATTTGACCTCACCACAATCCTATGAGGTAGTACTCTGATTTTACCCACTTACAAATGAGGGAACAATCTCAGAGAAGCTTCATGGTTTAGCCAACTGGTCAATAGTGCAGCTGCATTTGACCCAATACAATCTAACTAAAACCCCCCCCCCCTTTTTTTTCTTCAAATTATAAGTTTGTTTAGAAAGTCACAGAGGTAGAAAAGGTGAGCCAGCTGGGTTGCATGGGATCAGGAAATGGGTTACAGAGGCAAAAGAAGGGCCCTTGGAGTTTAGAAAAAAGAGAATATGTCTGGGGGGAAGAAAGGAGGAAAAGTGTCAGCGTGCTCCGAGAGAGAAAAAAAAGCATGCTCAAAGCTTTTTTTTTTAATGTTAAAATTTTATAGCAGAGCCAGGGCTGGTGTGGCTCAGTGGTTGAGCATCGACCCATGTACTAAGAGGTCACTGGTTTGATTCCTGGTCAGGGCACATGCCCAGGTTGTAGGCACAATCCCTAGTGGGGGGCATGCAGGAGGCGGCCAATCGATGTTCTCTCTCATAGATGTTTCTCTCTCTCTCTCCGTCTCCCTTCCACTCTAAAATCAATAAAGAAAAAAAATAAAATTTTATAGCAGAGCCCAGCCAGTGTGGCTCAGTGAATTGGGTATCATCCCATGCACCAAGGAGTCACCAGTTTGATTCCCATTTGGGGCACATGCCTGGGTTTTGGGCTTGATCCCCATTGGGGGAGTGTTGGGGGCATCTGATTGATGATTTTCACATTGATGTTTTTCTCTCTCCCTCCCTCTCCTTCTAAAAAAAAAAAATCAATAAAAATATATTTTTAGCCCTGGCCAGTTTGGCTCAGCGGTTAGAGCATCGGCCTGAGGTCCGGAGAGACCCGGGTTCGGTTCCCGCTAAGGGCACGTACTTCGGTTGCAGTTTGTCCCCGGCCCTGGTTGGTCGTGCGGGTGGCAGCACGTGTCCCTTCACGTCGATGCTTCTCTCTCTCTCTCCCTTCCTCTCTCCCCCTCCCACTCTATCTGTACAAAAAATGGAAAAATATCCTCAGGTGAGGATAAAATATATATATATATATATATATATATATATATATATATATATATATTTTTTTTTTTTTTTTTTTTTTTTAAATTTATAGCAGAGTCCAGCCGGTGTGGCTCACTGGTTGAGCATCGACCCATGCACCAAGAGGTCGCCAGTTCAATTCCCAGTCAGGACACGTGCCCAGGTTGTAGGCCTGATCCCCAGTGGGGGGCATGCCGGAGGCAGCCAATCGATGTTCTCTCTCATTGATGTTTCTATTTCTCTCTCCCTCTCACTTCCTCTCTCTCTAAAATCAATAAAAGAAAAAAAAATTTATAGCAGAAAAGGAATTTTAATTTAAAAGATGCTGGATGAGCCCTGGGCGGTTTGACTCAGTGCTAAGAGTGTCAGCCCGAGGACTGAAGGGTCTCAAGTTTGATTGTCAGTCAAGGGCAAGTACCTGGGTTGCAGGTTTGATCCCCAGCTCTGGTCCTGGTCAGGGTCATGTGGGAGGGAACAGATTGATGTGTCTGTCTCACAGCGATGTTTCTCTCTCTCCCTTCCACTCAGGTGAGGATTAACAAAAAAAAAAGAAGGTGCTGGGTGATTCTCAGAATGTCCTGGTAAAGTTAGAGATCAGGCTTGGAATCTACACAGCCAGAACCTCACTTAAAATCCTGCCCCAGATCTGCTCCAGGGAAAACACTACCAGGCACAGTCACTACAGTTTGCAAGGCTGACACAGTGACACTGGACAGGGACTGGACACCAACACCAAAGCTGCTACTCCAGGACACTGCCTATAGCTGTGCCCGAATGGATTAAGTCATTACCTAAGACTCATGTTCTGGGGTGAGTACTTCTAATTAGCATGGCCTGGGCCATGCAATAGTCAAGGGAGGCTGAGAAAGCAAATATTTTATCATTCAGGGAATTTTTAATTGGTCATCTGCTGTGAGTCAGGCACTCTTCAATATGCTAGGGAGACAAAAGCAAGCAGAGTAGGTGAAACTTCCTATACTCATGAAACTTCCATTCTAGGAAGGTGGACAGACAATATTCAAATAAGCAAGTTAAACATAACATTTGTCAAATGGTGATGAGTGCTACAGAGAAAAAGAAGGGGGCAGGGAATTGAGACCTGCTGTTTTGTCATGTCTTCAGGGAGGTCCTTACTGATAAGGTGACGTTTGAGCAGAGACCCAAATGATGTGAAGGCATCTTCAGCTTATGTGTGTGCAAGTGTCGAGGTGGGGCAATGCCCATACCTTTAAGTAGAAAGACCGTACCTCCATTCCCCAGCCATTGTGAGGCCACCATTATGCCACCATTATTTTGTCCTTTAAGCTGTCTGAGGGGAAAGTTGTTGTTTTGGGACAAGTTTTCTATGCCCAGTGAAACTGGGGGAACAGACCTCCGGGGATCCAGTCTTAACTCTGCAACGACAACAGTGACTGGCTACCTGGCCATGCAGATAAGAATTTGGGGGAGATTTTGGTGGGAAAGAGCCAGGACTAATCAAAGAGGGTATATCTGGGAGAGTATAATTCTGTAGGCACTCATTTCCATCAACTGTGACACTACAGATGTGTGTCCTAGAGCACTGATTTTGTAGCTCAGAGCAAATCAATGTTCAGTAATCGGCGAAAGTGTTGTCCTTATCTCGATATTGCACAGCCATCCTTGCAAAATGGTAGCCAATCCCACTGGAGGCCAGAAGACTGACACAAGTGATGGCATCTTAGGGTCTTCTCGCAGGGGTTTTCTGGGCTCCTTCCTTCGTTGATGGGCTTTTGGGTCTGTGCAGTGATTCCTGTCTGGGCACTGGTTGTTGGGTTTTTGACTCTATTGTGGCAGTTCATTTTATGCCTTTGTTCTTAAGAAATAGGGGCTTTTGCACAGCCGGTGTGGCTCAGTGGTTGAGCATCGACCCATGCACCAAGAGGTTGCCGGTTCAGTTCCTGATCAGGGCACATGCCCAGGTTGTGGGCCAAATCCCCAGTGAGGGGCATGCAGGAGGTGGCCAATCGATGTTCTCTCTCATCGATGTTTCTATTTCTCTCTCCTTCTCCCTTCCTCTCTAAAATCAATAAAGAGAAAAAAAAAATAGGGGCTTTTCTTGTTTTGTTCTTTTTTTTTTTCATTATTGATATTTAGAGAGGGGGGGGAGGGAAAGGGAGAGATAGAAATATCCATGGGAGAAAACATCGATTGGCCGCCTCCTGCATGGCCCCCCACTGGGGATTGGGCCCATAAGCTGGGCATGTGCCCTGAATGGGAATCGAACTGGTGACCTCTTGGTGTGTGGGTTAATGCTCAACCACTGAGCCACACCGGCTGGGCCTCTTGTTCTGTTCTTATTTATTTTTGTTTAGTTTTTATATCAAAAGGGATCTTAGTGGATTGCTCCTGTGTTTTTGTGCTGAGGATCCAAGGATCAGTTAGCACTGTCAAAGATCACCCTGTTATGAATCATAAGTAATTGTACTGCCCTGATTACCTATTACCATAACCATGTCTTCCTTGTCTCGTTTTTAAAAACAACTAATTTTCCTTTTTATTGAATACATTGGGGTGACTGTTTAACAAAATTATACAGGGTTCTGGTGCATGATTCTACAACACGTCATCTGTACACTGTGTTGTGTTCACCACCCCAAGCCTCGATCCATCACCATTAATCTAAACCAATGATTTGCAAACTTTTTTTTTTTGTAAACTTTTTGATTGTATGTATTCATTGCAGTAAACATCTTGTGCCTCTGTCATAATCTTTGTATCTATTCTTTTTTTGGTATGTGCCCCTAGCAGGAACCGAACCCAGGACTCACTGGTCCGCAGGCCGATGCTCCAACCGCTGAGCCAAACCGGCCAGGGCTTTGTATCTGTTTTTAAATCACATACATGTACTACTGGATCAATGTGGCATAAATATTTAAAACATACACAAAATAGAAATAATTATGTTTTTAAAATGAAACAAACAGTTCAAATCCCAGACAAGCCCCCCCAAAACAAACAAAAAATAAAATAAACAATATTTTGAAAATATTTTTATTTTCTTTTTTAACAGTAAAAATGTCCTAATTTCTCTCAGTAAAGAAAGATGATTATTGTTTATTTTAATGAAAACAATGTAACTCAGTGTTTCATTCTTTTTAAAATCTCAGTTTAACACATTATTTTGAGCAACAAAATCACATAGTGATAAACATTTCTAAACATTCATTTTCAAATTTATCTCTTCATCACATGAGTTTCTTTTAAAAAGGCAGTTAATGCCTCACTTACAGATTTTAAAAATTACTTTTAACTTAAAGAGACCCATTAAGTATGTCCATTTCTTTCCAAGTATCAGCAGGCAGCTGTATCCATCAGGGCTCAGTCAGAAAGAGAAACCACTGGAGGCTTTTCAGGCCGGAAAGGGTTGACTGCAGGGCACTGAGGTGCTCATGGTACTCTCAGAAGGACTTGCAGGAGTTAGGGGACGTTGCCATTAACGTTCAGAAATTCAGAGTACCAGGAGGTTTCTGCTGTTACCCAGATCAGAAAAATGCAGGGAACCCCCAACGCCGAGCAGAGCTGCCCCCAAGTACTGAAACGGGGGCTGACAGGTCACCTGGAGGCTACGGCAGAATTTTACGTCTACCGTGGCCTGTGTTTTGCTAGGTGCTGCCAGAGAGAAAGTAATGCCACTTTTTCCTCCCACCTAGGAAAATCACATCCAGAAGGAAATCACATCCAGACCCGTGAAGGCAAAGGCGTTTGGGAAACGCGGTTTCCATCATTCTAGTCCCTGTAACACAGAGAAGCATGGAGAGATGTGGGAATGAGTGCTGGCTGCCACAGAGCAGACTCCATCGCACACTGCATCCTCCCCGTAGCCTCTTGTCATCACAGAGGAGGGCGGACAAGGAGAAACACTTGCCTGCTTTGTATAAGAAAAACAGGTGATTAATTTTTAAGTGTGACAACTCTTGTAAATACTTTCTGGCAATATAATCACTCAATCTCTGTGGTTTACAGGATTTCCATGGGTACTTCCCATTACATAGTAGTTCCTACTATGTAAAGGTCTTACTTTTAATCGCATTAACCTTATTCACAACATCTGTAGCATACAAACTGCAGTACATTGTAATACTCGGAAGTAAACGTGACTATTAACAAACAAGCTGGACTTGGTGGATGCAAGCAGAGAGCAATTTCTTCTCCTCACCACGGCTGCTTGCAAACCTGTTCTTTCTCTCAAACGTGAAACTGGGGGTGGTCCACGAAGCGTTTCCAGGAAATAAGAGGACAAGTAGTAGCCTTTTTTCTTTGGTTTTAAAAAAAATTCCAGTCTGTATAACAGTAAAACTCCAAACTTCATCCATAAAACGTCTCCCCGTGGTCAGCAGAGGCTGGTGGCCAGGGGGGAATGGGCGGGGCGGGCTGGAGGACACCGCCAACCTCTCCACTGCCCTCATCTGCTCTTCCGCCCTCCAAAGGCAACCTGCTTGTGGAACAAGCTAGGCTTGTGAGGTATGAACAGAAAGCAACTTCGTTTTCTCATGAGTGCCCCCTAGAAACCTGCTATAGTGACTTGTTCTTAATTCTGGATGACATTGGTAGCTTTTCCAGTCTCTTTCAGGTAACAAACAGGATAAAATCATCATCATCATCATCATCATCATCATCATATTTTAAATAGTATTTTTTTTTTTTCTAGTTATTAACAAGTCTCATCAGTGTCATATCAAAACTTCAAATGTCAGTTCATTAAAAGCTTCTCCCCTCCTCCAGCCTGGAAATCTGAACAGAATGGGGTCCCAGTCCCGGTCAGTTCTGTGTGTCACGCACCACCTCCTCCCGCGTCAGCCGCTGTCCTGGCACAGCAAGGGGAGGAGGGAAGGTCGTACTTGATGGGCAGAGCTGTGAACTGGCGTCAGTGTCCTCTGGGAGGAGCAGGTTCCAGCGCTGCTTCGTTTCTCACAGGTGCCTGCCTGGGTCCTGCGTCGCAGGCTCTCTCACCTATGGTGCCCGCTAGGCCGTGCCTTCTCTAGTCATGTAGGGTTCCTGCCCCAGCCCTAGTTTCCAGCAGCCTCCCCTCCACTGAGGTCACTTCATCCCTCTGGGTGTTCCCTTGGCTGGATTCCTTCTTAAACTGACCCAGTCTGGCTCCCTTTCTTGAGAACCACATTGGGCCCACAGGAACTCAGGAACATGAGCGCAAGCCGTTCCGAACGCAGACTTCTCTCTTCTGTCTTCCCCAGGAGCTAGCCACCTCTAATTTGTCTTTAGACTTTTAGGAGTGAGTCAGACACCAGTCCCGGTGTCCCTCAAACTCCACAGGACGTGTCAAGCTCTCCAAATGGTCCTCTTGAAGTGCCCCCCTCATTTGGCATGAGGCGAAGAGGAAGCACCCCCTCTCCTGCTTGGGGAGAAGGGACATGTCCAGCATACTCTTACATAGCCTGGAGGTGGCAGCCGAGCTAATCCTTCCCAGTCTGAAGCTAGTGCTTCCCAGGCTCACAATCTCTTACATGCTGTGCATAGGTGATCTAGCTCCTCCTCCCTTTAGACTGTGGATGGACTCGGCACCTACTGTTTTGTTCTCAGCCTTTGGGGTTTCTGGTGAAACTGACACAGAAAGAGTCCCATTTTAGTGAATGAAATTACCATTGTCAACCCCTCCTCCTTATGGAACTCCTGTTCTTCATCAGGACACCTGATGCCCTGGAGGTGACATGGGACAGCCTGACTTGTGAATTGGATGGAGTGAATATATACGGTTAATACAGCACTATTACATATTTACATATCAATGATAATTCTAGTTTCACAGTAATTACCTTAATACTTATGTATTACCTGTGTTCAGATGTAATTGTTTTTACACAAAAATATATAGGACTTTTGTTTCTGGCATTGTGGAAGGTTAGATGGACAGAGAAATCTCTCTCAATATATAAAACACCTCTGAGCCCGACTGGTGTGGCTCAGTGATTGAGCGTCAACCCAAGCACCAAGAGGTCGCCAGTTCGATTCCAGGTCAGGGCACATGCCCAGGTTGTGGGCCCGATCCCTAGTGTGGGGCATGCAGGAGGTGGCCAATCGATGTTCTCTCTCTCTCATCGATGTTTCTATCTCTCCCCCTCTCTCTTATTCTCTCTCTAAAATCAATAAATAAAATAAAATAAAATAATAAAATAAAAAACACCTTAGAGTGCTGGGCGAAATTTTAGCAAATACACGAAAGTACTTTTTCAAAGCATGACTGAGCTGCCAGGAAAGTAAAGGAGCCAGAATAACAAGTCAGAGAGGAGGAGGAACGGCTAGGACAGCACTAAACACGTTTGCTGTGAGGACATCTGTGGATTCCTGGCGGCCTTGAGTCTGGATTTTCATTTGCAGTCGTAAGGAAAGAAAGCCTGAGGAGCATGGTCGGAGGTCAGGTCACAAACTCTTGCAAAATAATGGAATGCCCGATGACTGGCCTCATGGCTGGGAATGAAAAAAATAGATATCCTTGACCTCACCAGGAAGAGACTTTTCTAAGCCAACCTCAGCTCAGGCTGGGTGGCCGTTGGGGAACCTTCTACAGGAGTTCTTCACCACCAGCAATAACCACTCCCATGTATTTGTGGCTCAAATTCATCCTATCTCTGTGGCCCCGAAATCCTTAAGCTGAACATTTAGTTTGAATTGGTCCTGGTTGGTAACATTTCTGAGAGTCTGGAAGAAGCAAACTCAAATGCTCTTTAGAGAAAAATACTTTAAATCCAGGTCTCAAAGAATGTCCACAGCTAAAGTTTCCAAGTGCAGGGATATCATAAAGAAACCACCAAGTGATTTTTTTAATTATATAGAAATGAGAAATAAGCCACTGTGAGCAAGTGAGTGGAAAACAAGAAGCTGCAGGACTGGACGTACAGTTTGGTTCAAGGTCTGAGTCTGGGGCCGGGGGCCTCACGATGGGAAATGCCCCCTGACACCAGAGTCCTTGGCCTCTCCTCGTAGTGTACATCACCAGCTGAGAAAGCTGGTAACCTCAGGAAAACACAGTTCACAGGTGAAAATAATCAGATATATGAGCAGTACCGTCACAGTCAGAGACAGTGAATGGAACAAACTGTACTAGACAAACCAGATGGAACAAGACAGATCAAGAACTCTAGCACAGTAAAGATCCTCAGAGATAAGAGGATAAAAACAGGGAACGCGCTGTTAGACAGAACCCAATGGAAATACTGGGTATGAAACATGGACCAGTGTAACAAAACTCATAGATTGAATTAACAAAAGACTGGCTACACGGCTGCGAAATGAATAACGATCTGGATCTGTTCAAGGAATTTCCCAGAAGGTACTACTAGAAAGAGAAAATATGAACATATAACAAATAATAATAATAATAATAATGTCAAGACCTATAACTATGAACCCCAGAAAGAGAAAATGGATTTAGGGAAGAGAATATTTAAAGAAAATGTAAGTAAGGAACTTCCAAAAATTAAAGATTAAAGGACTCCAGAGTTCAAAGGTCTCATGGATATAGTAAATGCAAAACTTTGACCCATTATAGTGAAATTTAAGTTCATTAAATACAAAATGAAATTCTAAAAGCTTCTAGAGAGAAGAGGCAGTCCACAGAAGAATAAGAATTACATTGAAATTAGTTTTCCTAATAGAAACACCTGAGACCAAAAAAACCAATGAAGTTTATTTTCTAAAGAAAAGTAACTTAGAATATTATATCCAGCCCTGGCTGGTTTGGCTCAGCGGCTGGAGCGTTGGCCTGTGGACCAGAGAGTCCCGGGTTCGGTTCCTGCTAAGGGCATATACAAAAAAATAAAATAAAATCAATAAAATCAATAAAAAAGTTAAAAAAAAAAAAAAAGAATATTATATCCAGATAAACTAGTATTTAAATGTGAAGAATCAAAGATGATATGTTCAGACATGCAAAGCCTTAGAAAGTTTACAGCACAAAGAGTCTCTTTGAAAATTCTCCTGAAAGAAGTTCTTTTAAACTTATACTAATATAAGTAAATTATACTTACTATACTAAGCATTTAACATGCACATGGAAACATGTCTCAATACTATTAGTGGTTTACACCTACCAGGACAGCTGCTGATAAAAAACATGGAACCTGGTCAGTGTGGCTCAGTGGACTAAGCATCGTCCCATGGACTGAGGTGTCTGGGTTCGATTCCCAGTCAGGACATATGTTTGGGTTTCAGGCTCGATCCCCAGTAGGGGGCGTGTAGGAGGCAGCCAATTAATGTTTCTCTCACATCGATGTTTCTCTCTCTCTCTCTCCCTCTAAAAAAATCAAAAACATATTAAAAAAAAAATAAAAAATTTTTAAATGGAAAATAGTACATTGGTGAGAATGTTAAATGGTTCATTTACTGTGGGAAACAATTTGATGCTTCCTCTAACATTAATCATAGTTACCATAGAGATACAGCAATTCCACCCCTAGGCATATACCCAAGAGAACTGAAAACATACATTCACACAAAAATTTGTACACAAATGTTCATAGCAGCATTATCCATAGTACAGAGGTGAGCAAAAGTAGGTTTACACTTATAATACAATAATAAATAATACAAGAATAAACCGTTTCATGTACTCACAACTGTAGACCTATTTTTGCCCACCCATGTATTCAGTGGTAACAGCCCAAGTGTCTATCAGCTGATAAATGGGTAAATAAAAATGCGATATATTCATACAATAAAATCTTATTCAGGATATAGACAGCTGGGATATCAAATGTATTATAAATTTATCATAAAGAATATCATAAAGAAAA